ATCTCTGAGTTTGAGGCCAGCCTGGTCTACAAAGTGAGTTTGAATTGCAGGACAGATTCCAAAGCTAAAGAGAAACCCTGTCTCAAAAAACAAAAAAACAAAAAACAAAAAAGGAATTAGACATGTATTATACTAGAATTAGACATGTATTATACTAGAATGTTAGTTTCTAAACTACCACAGGTGAAGCCTAATCACAGTACTCTAGAGGCAGAGGCAAGCAGACCTCTGTGAGTTGAGACCAGTCTTGTCTACAGAGCTAGTTCGATGACAGCCAAGGCTATCAAAGAAACCTTGTCTCAAAAAAGCCAAAAGGAAACTATTGAAAACAAACAAAACACAACAGGATCTCACTGTTTGTATTAGGCTACCTACCAGGTTGGCCTCTAATTTCTAGACCCTCCTGTTTTAGCCTCCTAACTCATGCTACCAAGCCAGATTAAAAGAAACAGTAATTTTGTGTTAAAGATGTTTCAGTGAGCAAGGGCTTGCTGCCAAGGCTGAGGACCCAGAGTTTGATTCCCAGAACTCACATGGTAGTGGGGAGAGAGAACCAACTCCTGAAAGTTTTCTCTGATCTCCACATGTGTATATACACAGTAAGTAGTTAAATAAATGTGTATGTATATATACACATATACATAAGAAATGGCAACATTTAGAGATAAACACAGGTCTATCCATCACCCTATTCTATTTTTGTATGTGTTTAATTAAACATGAAAGTTTTGTTTACTTTTATGGTGCTGTGGATCTAGCTAACAAGGACCTCAAACATGCTAGGCAAGCACTCTACCTCCAGCAGGGAAAGGGAGCTGAAGAGATAGCTCAGCAGTTAGAAACACACACAGCTCTTTCAGAGGACACAAACTCATTTAATACATCTAGCTCCAAGCTCTTCAGGGGATTCCATGCTTTCTTCTGGACTCCCAAGTGTACCTTCCCTCCCTCCCTTTTTTGATTTTTTTGAAAATGGTCTCACTATGAAATCCCAGCTGTTGTGGCACTCACTATATAGGTATGTGTACATCATATTCATTCTCACTCTCTCTGTCTCTGTCTCTCTCTCATACACACACACTCACTCACTCACAAAGTAAAATAAAAATAGTGTGTTGGGCCAGGGGATGGTGGCACACGTTTTTAATCCCAGCACTCGGGAGGCAGAGGCAGGCGGATCTCTGTGAGTTCGAGGCCGGGCTGGACCGACAGCCTCCAAAACAATACAGAGAAACCCTGTCTCGTAAAACCAAAAAAAAAAAAAAAAAAAAAAAAAAAAAGTGTGTTGGGCAATACAGCTCAGCAGGTAAAGATACTTGCCACCAAACCTGACAACCTGAATTTCATCCCTGGAGCTCAGAGAGGAAAGATAAACGACTCTAATAAGTTGTCCCTCTCTGGCTTTCACACAAATGCCATTGCATAAGTGAAAATGCACAAGTGCACAAACATACTCTTTAAAATAAACAAAAGGAAAACAAACAAATTCCTTAAAAAACAAAAACCAAGCACGGTAGCATGCCTACCATTAAGGAGGAAGAGGCTAGAAGATCTTGAGTTTCAAGCCAGCCTTGGCTACATAAAATCGTGTCTTAACAACATCAGAGGGGAGGAGAGAGAAGGGAGATGTAGGGGAACAGAGGGAGGAAAGAAATGGATGCTGGGAATTTAGCTCAGTCAAACAAAATGCTTGTTTGCTTTGTAAGCATGAGGACCAGAGTTAAATCCCCAGCATCCATGTAAAAGGATGGCACTCTACTGCATACTTATGGCCCTAACACTTGAAAGTGGAGACAGCAAGATCCATGGGACACATTGGTCAGTCAGTCTAGCCAATGAGACACTGTCTTAACAGAGACAGATGGTAATCTTGAAGATGATACTCAAGGATGTTCTCTGGCCTTCATACACAAGTGTATATATGGGCATTATTTTTAAAACATCAAAACTGATATTAGTCGGGCAGCGGTGGCATACTTTAATCCCAGCACTTGGGAGGCAGAGACAGTGGATTTCTGAGGGCTACACACAGAAATCCTGTCTCAAAAACCCAAAATCAAAATAATCAAGAAATGTCAATTTGTACTCCCACAAACACTGAAGTAGTTTCTATTTGTAATATTCTTTGTTTTCCTTTTAGGGTTCTATTTTTATTGGGTGTATACAGGTGTACAGCCTCTGCTGTAGATACACAGAGGACACATAGAGGACAATCTTGAAATCTGTTCCTCAGGAATACTGACCACCTCAGTTGTTTTGAGGTAGGGTCTTACACTGGCCTGAAGCTCACCAACTAGGCTAGGCTGGCCAGTGAGTCCCAGAGAACCTGGCCTGTTCTGCCGCCTGAATTCAGGTCCTCATGCTTCTAATTTTTCTTCTTTTGTTTTTTTGAGACAGGGTTTCTCTGTGGCATTGGAGGCTGTCCTGGAACTTGCTCTTGTAGAACAGGCTGGTCTTGAACTCACAGAGATCCGACTGCCTCTGTCTCCAAGTGCTAGGATTAAAGGCGTGCCCGGCTCCATTGAGCCATTTTTTTTTTTTTTTTTAATGAGACAGGGTTTCTCTGTATTGTTTTGGAGGCTATCATTCCAGCCTGGCCTCGAACTCACAGAGATCCACCTGCCTCTGCCTCCCGAGTGCCCGGCCCATTGAGCCATTTTTATACCCAAATATATGCTATTTTAAAAGGCAATGTAAGTACTGTAGTGGTGGCGTGTGCCTTTAATCCCAGCACGCAGGAGGATTTCTCTTGGGTTCGAAGCCAGCCTGAGAATAGTAAGGGCTACTCAGAGAAAACCAGTATCCAAAAAAAAAAAAAAAAGAGGGAGGGAGGGAAGGAGGAGAGTGAGGGACAGGGAGGGGGGGAAGGGAAAGGAAAGAAGAAAATTTCAAGGCCTGGTAAAGCTAAGTTAATTCAAGGCCATACCAGGTAACTTACTGTATCAAAATGAAAAGTAGCCAGGGTGGTGGCTTAGACCTTTATACTTACTTTTTATTTATTTAGGTTTTTCAAGGCAGGATTTCTTTGTATGTAGCCCTGGCTGTACCGGAACTCTGTAGACCAGGGTGGCCTCGAACTCATGGACATCTGCCTGTCTCTGCCTGAGGGCTGGGATTGAAGGGGTGCACCACTGCCAGGCTCCATTCGCTTTATTTTATTTTATTTTTTTTTGAGACAAGGTCTCTCAGTGTAGTTCTGGCTATCTTGGAATTATATACATATATAAGTCTGAGGCACAAACTCAAGAGTCTCCTGCCTCTACGCACTGTGCCTCAGGCTTAAATCCAGCATAGCAGACTAATCTGGTCCTCAGAGTCCCAGGACAACAGCCAAGGCTACAATTGAAACCCTTTCTCAATACTCTACCTCACACTTGGATGTTAAGGCTTAAATAAAATAATGTAGATGAAAGTATTTCACACAGCTACAAGCATGGCACTGGGGTTCAATTTAAATATTTGACTATAAAATAGTAAAGTGTACCCAAAAGAAGCAATATGAAAACTGAACCACATGAAGACAAGACATATGACAAGAGCACTAACTGTTCACACTAATAATCTTCAGTGGAAGTAAAAGGTACTGAAGTATTTTTCCTGGTTAGATTCCCAGTGACTGGCTCTAAAAGGTGTATACGGCTGCATATACAACTTAATAAAATTGACAGAAATAGCTCACACTGCAGCAGTTTTCCAGGTTGAGAAGAGCAAATTAATTTGTCCTTGGAACAAATGTAGTTTAATTACACACGGGACCATTTGGAATGGAGGGAGATTTCCTTCTAAACCCCCAAATTATAATACACGTTATCAAAATGAATCTTCTCCAAATATTTATGAGGGGAACGATTTTAGCTGTTCAGAGCTGGTGCAAAGCAGCAGGATTTTATACACTGCAGTATGTCAGTTGCTCATTCTGAAAAAATGCTCAAGCTGGAAAAAGCAGACAATATCTCTAATAAAGCAAACTCCCTAAAACACCACACATACAGAAGAACACATACATCTGCTAAATATCAAATCACACCGTTGTTGACAACTTACTCATTAAATCGTATTTAAGATCTAAAAATAAAAATAAAACCTCTACTGGTCATAGTTTGCAAAGGTGGCTACAGCAAACTGGAGTTCTCGTTGACTCAAAGCAAGGATCAGTGAATAAATCCAGTGTTCACACTCAAATGTGGGGGAGAGGAAAAGGGAGGCTCCAAGTCCATAAAGTTCTCCTCCCTCTCAGAACACTGCAAAAAACTGTCCACGTCTAAGGACACTTACCCTTGAAACTCCTTGGAGAGCAACTTGGGAGACTTTCTGTTCAGATTTTTGAGGGGGAGTGATTTTTGGAATGCTGCAAAATTTAGATTTCTACTTTCCTTAAGAGCCAGTCAACGCTCTCCTATTAATAAAATCCCTAATTCAACACCCAAGTATAAGCTGAAAAGCCAAAACAAAACCTGAAACCACACAAAAAGATTTCAATACGCAAATGAAGACCACAGACTATTTCCAATAATCCCTAAGTAAATCATTTCGGTTTGAGAGGAGAAAGGAAAAAGGGCAGAACTCCGACCAGCGGAGGAAGGAAAAAAAGAAAAGAAAGCAGTAGTGTGTGTGTTGGGGGGGGGGGGGATAGTGCCGACAAGAACTGGGGGGAGGAGTACAGCACACACAAAAAAAAAGTCTAGCTGATGCTGACACTAAAGAGGACAGGGCGGAAAATACCCCAGCGACAGGAGGACGGGGTGGGACCGGGCTGGGCCGGGCATTCCCTGCAGGCCTACCCAGGGACCGCTGAGAGGATGGGGGGCAGTACTCTCACAAGAACTCCCCGGGCCCCACAGCTCGGGAGGCAGACGCGGGGGTGGCGAGTTATCGAAAAGTCGCTACCGCTGCCGGTCTCTGCGGAGATCCTGCCTCGAGTGCGGCGACCGGGCCGCGGACGTGGAAGGGGGGTGCGGCCCGGGGCGGCAGCGGGGTCCGAGCGAGCAGGTCGGCCGTACCTTGTAGTAAACGTCGAACTGGATATTCTCCGGCAAGGAGCGGATGTCGCGACGCGAGCGGATGTAGTTGTCCACGACAGCGGAGATGGCGGTGTTGTAGAGCGTCTCGGGGATCCACTCGAGCTCCACGGCCGCCATCTTCCCTCGCTCCTCCTCCGCCTCCTCCCGCAGGCCCCCGCCTCCCTCCGTAGCGAACCCGTGTGCGGCCCCGGAGGCTTCCGAGGGGCGGCGACCACGCGGACGCGCGCTTCACGGATCCGGCCGCCCGGCCTCCGCGTGCGCACGCGATCTGAAGGCAGACGGCGGGGGCGGCGGCGGCTGGATACCGGGAAGACCGGGACGAACGCAGAGCACGGCCGAGCCCAGACCCTCACATTCCGGGAAGGAAAGCAAGCCCGGTTCCGTTCCGGCGCCCAGCTCTGCAGGGGCGGGGCTGCGTGTGCGACGTCATGACGTCAGCGCGCGCTGACGCTCCGGGGAAGGAATGCGGCAGGCGGAAAACTTGGGAGAAAGCGCGGGGAGCGCCTAAGCGGCAGCGGGTGCGAATTCCAAAAGGGCTGGGCGCTGGGGTGGCTGGGAGGTAGTTAGGACATTATTTAACTCAGCGTGCTATGGCTCTCCAGCTCAGACTTGTTTCAGTGAGTTTTAGACGAGAGCCCTCTTGAACTTTCACGTAAAAATGTAGACTTGATCTTTTCTTCACAAAAGTGCACAGTAGGGCAGAGAGTAGTCCATGTCTTTTATCTCAGCTTTTGGGAGGCAGAGGCAGGAAGATCTCTGTGAGTTCGAGGCCAGCGAGTTCCAGTACAGCCAGAACTGTTACACAGACAAACCCTGTCTTGAAAATATATAAATAAATAAAAATTCTTTTACAGTAAATCAAAGTTTGACATGCATTCTCAGACTACTGGAAGAATTTGGTTAAAAAGCTAAACTAAAAAGTAAATACAATTAATGGATTTTTAAAATGCTAAACGGGGCTGGAGAGATAGCTCAGTGGTTAAGAGTGTTTGCAGCTCACAAAGTAGACCCTGCTTCAGTTCCCAGCGCCCACATAAGGAAGCTCCATTTTAGGGGACTTGATGCCCTTTTTGGGTTTCTCCAGGCACCTGCTCCCATGTGGTGCACATGCATATAAGCTCTGCCACTGAGCTAAATCCCCAGTCCCTCAGCCTTCTTTCTTATTCCTCCCAGGACCTGCTTAGAGTGTCACTGCTCAGTGTGCTGGGTCCTCACACATCAGTCACTAAGCAAGAAAGCGTCCCACAGGTCTGCCTACCTACCAATCTGATGGAGGCATTTGCTCAGTTGAGGTTCCCCCTCCCAAGAAGGTCCTAGGTGTAGGGAAAAGAGAACAGCCAAAGAAACCACTCTGTCCCTGCAACCAGAACTAAAGAAATGTATCCTGACCCTGAAACCAGTGCCAAAAGAGCACACTTTGTCCCTGGAATCAGTCAGTGAAAGAAATGCACCCTGGCCCTAAAATTGGAGCCAAAAGACTAAAAAGGACCAGAGAAAGAAACACACTTTGGCCCTGAAAGTGGAGCCAAATCTGACCCTAATCCCGTGCAGAAAACTAACCAATCCTCAAGCAGATCTCTAGCCAATCTGAGCTCAGCACTAAAATCTGACCAATCCCCACCCTGGAAGCCTATATAAACCCTGTGTCTGTTCTACCAGGCTGTCCTCTGCCACTCTGGCAGGGGGCAGCCACTCTCCTGGATCCTTGTCTCCCAATAAACCCCTTGGATGAGCTTTGGGTGAAGATCTTTTCTGACAGAGCAGAGGCGACCCTGGGCAGAGCAGAGTGAGCAGGGCTGTAACACTTTTGTCGAGAAACCTTCCCTTGGCAGAGCTCTGCTCTCTGCTCAGCTCTCTGGGAGCAGAGCTGAGCTGTAGCAACTTAGCCCAAGAAACCACCGGCCGAGCAAAACTGCTACACTAGGCGAACATCCCCAGCTGGAAAACCCTGTCCTGCCAGAGTGGAGCCGATGCACTGGGGAAGCCTTTCTCCGAGGCAAAGGCTGTAAGCTGCTAATCTTACTGCAGCCTGTGGTGGTCCTTGGCTCCCCAGCTCCAGGATACCTTTCCACCTGAGCTGTGTAACACTCAGTATTCTGTGGCTCCCGAGTGCCAGAATACCTGACCCACTCCTGTTCCATCCCCATCCAGCCCGAAATGCCTACGCTAGGTTATGTTGACAACAAGAAAAAAACCACCAGTACAACGTGTCTGAGCAAACACAAGTACACATCACATCAATCTTTTTCAAGCTGAATGAGTAGTGGCTGTGATACAGACCCTCATCCAGTCCTCAGCTTTAGCAGCCATGACAGAATGCATAAAAGACCCAGCAAGACAAAGTCCCCTGACTCAGCAAAGTGTGCTAAACTTCCAACCTTGCCCCTCACTAGGAAGGCAGATAATTTCCAGGTGGCAAGGAACCAATCAGAAGTTAGCTGGCCTCCAAAGTCACAGAGAACTCCTGACTCGGGAAAAAAAAAAAAAAAGTTAGCTGGCTGGCTCTGGATGTGCTTTAAGGTAACTTGCCATGCAGAGCATAGCAACCAGTTAACCAATCAACACAGGACAGATCATCTGGAAGTGCACCAATCATGAGTCTGTTGTGGACCCTCAGACACTCCCCTTGCTCTGCCACCAATAAATTCCTCTCCCCTCAGTCCCTCTGGGTTCTTCTCTCCTCACTGCTGTGTTGGACAGACAGGAGAAATGGAGTAAATACAGTTAACACATCAAACAATAAAACTCTTTGCTTTTGCATTGGATCTGGGCTCTTGGTGATTTGGGGGTTGAGAATTTGGGCATAACAATAGGCCTTGACTGAAATGGAAATTTAAGTTTTCCCCTAGTACAGTAGAGGAGATGTTGATTGGGAGTTTCGGTCACAGCTCTCACTTATTTATTTATTTCTGGTTGTTTGAGACAGAGTTTCCCTTTGTAACAGCTCTGGCTGTCCTGGAACTTGCTATCTAGACCAAACTGGCCTCAAACTCACTGAGATCCCCCTGCCTCTGTCTCCTAAGTACTGGGATTAAAGGCATGCGCCACCACTGCCAGGCTGACTCTTTTCTTATTCTTTTTTTTTTTTTTTTTTTTTTTTTTTGGTTTTTTGAGACAGGGTTTCTCTGTATTGTTTTGGAGGCTGTCCTGGGACTCACTCTGTCTTTTCTTATTCTTATGAACACCTGTTAGTTATGTAAATTAATTTGATAAGTCTGATTTTAAGAATTTGATGTAGCATCTTTCTGTTCTAGGAATTTAACAAGGAAGTTACCTCTATAATTTTTGGTAACATTCTCAATTTCTTTCTTCCTGATGTTTTTTTTAAAGACAAGGTCTTACTATGTAGACAAGGCTGGCCTCAAACTCAGAAATCTGCCTGACTCAACCTCTGCTTCTGCCTTCTAAGTGCTGGGTTTAAAGTAATGCACTACTACCCTAGTTTCTTCTCAATTAGTCATTCTATAGCAATGTAAATCATGAAGACAACAACAATGTCCACTCCTGTTTTATTTATTCTTTTTTTATTTATTTAGTTTTTTTGAGACAGGATTTCTCTGTGTAGCTTTGTGTGGAAACAACAGACCTTGGCCGGAGACCCACTTCCCCATCAGCCTGGGAGCAGGCAGCTGTAAGACAATGTTTACTAAAACGTGTTTACTGAAAACGATCCAGTGTCCATAAGAAATGTTTACCGGAGCAATAAGTTCCTGGAAAGGGCTTGCCCACGGAAACTCCCTGACCTGGACCTTTTACAAAGACTAATCGTCTCTTCCTGACCCACCCACCGCTGCCTCTGGGGTCAGAGCAGAACCAGCCAGGGGTAAGGAAGGGAGCAGGAGCTTTTCTTGAGGGAAGCCTTTCTTGGGAAGTTTTCTTTCTTTCTTTCTTTTTTTTTTTTTTTTTTTTTTTTTTTTGGTTTTTCGAGGCAGGGTTTCTCTGTGGCTTTGGAGGCTGTCCTGGAACTCCCATGGTAGTACAGGCTGGTCTTGAACTTAGAGAGATCCGCCTGCCTCTGCCTCCCGAGTGCTGGGATTAAAGGCATGTGCCACCAACACCCGGCCCGCAACTTTTCTTCTTATTGTGACAAAATGTTTGACAGAAACAGATGTGAAGGGCTTATTTGGCTCCCAGTTTGAGGGTATCCTCCATCTTGTGGGGAAATCATGGCAGCAGGAGTGTGAGGAGGCTGATTGCATTGCACCCATAAGCAGGAGCAGAGAGAGAAGAATACTGATGTTTCCGCCTCCCAAGTGCCTCTGCCTCTGCCTCTGCCTCTGCCTCCTCTGCCTCTGCCTCCTCTGCCTCTGCCTCTGCCTCCTCTGCCTCTGCCTCCTCTGCCTCTGCCTCCTCTGCCTCTGCCTCTGCCTCCTCTGCCTCTGCCTCCTCTGCCTCTGCCTCCTCTGCCTCTGCCTCCTCTGCCTCTGCCTCCTCTGCCTCTGCCTCTGCCTCTGCCTCTGCCTCCTCTGCCTCTGCCTCTGCCTCTGCCTCTGCCTCCTCTGCCTCTGCCTCTGCCTCCTCTGCCTCTGCCTCTGCCTCTGCATGTGCTACCAAGACAGGCTGCTTTCTTTTTATATAGATTGGGACCCCAGTTCATGGAATGCTGACACTCACATTTAGGGTGGGTCTTCCTCCGTTTATATGTAGTTGGAAAAATTCACCGAATAATGTTTTAATAAGGTATCATTGTAAGTGTTTCGGGCAGATAGGGATGGAACAGGAGTGGGTCAGGTATTCTGGTACTCAAGAGTCCCAGAATACTGAGTGTTACACAGCTCAGGTGGAAAGCTATCCTGGAGCTCGGGAGCCAAGGACCACCACAGGTTGCAGTAAGCTTAGCTGCTTACAGCCTTGCCTCAGAGAAAGGCTTCCCCGGTGTATGGGCTCCGCTCCGGCAGGACAGGTCCTTCCAGCTGGGGATGTTCGCCTAGTGTAGCAGTTTTGCTTGTCCAGCGGTTTCCTGGGCGAAGTTGCTACAGTTCATCTCTGCTCAGGGAGAGCAGAGAGCAAAAGAGCAAAGTGTAACAACTCTTCTCTGCCAAGGGAAGGTTTCCCAGGCAAGTGTTACAGCCCTGCTCTGCCCAGGGTCGCCTCTGCTCCATCTCCACCGCAAAAGAAGATCTTCACCCAAAACTCATCCAAGGGGTTTATTGGGAGAAAGCAGCTGGGCCAGGCAAGCTGAACAGACACAGGGTTTATATAGGGCTTCCAGGGTGGGGATTGGTCAGATTTTAGTGCTGAGCTCAGATTGGCTAGAGCTCTGCTTAAGGATTGGTTAGTTTTCTGCACGGGATTAGGGTCAGATTTGGCTCCACTTTCAGGGCCAAAGTGTGTTTCTTTCTCTGGTCCTTTTTAGTCTTTTGGCTCCAATTTTAGGGCCAGGGTGCATTTCTTTCACTGACTG